AGCTGGGGGAAGGAAGGCCTATTCTTGCACAAATTTTGTGCATTGGGCCTCTAGTATATATATATAGAATAAACTTGCTTAAGTGGATCTGCCTTTTGATTTAACTAAACTTTTTCCAGCCCACTGAAGCACCCCAACTTCTTTTTCAGGTAATTGTCAGCAACACAGCAGTAAATATCAACACAAAGCACATTATTATTGTAGATCACGCAGGGAGAACAAAGGGTAAAATATTTAACTGCAGCAGTGTTTGACTATATTCTGCACAATGAGAAAACCTGAAGTCTTTTTCAAGGCCCACCATTTCTTACTTCTTTTCAGTTGGGTCAAGTTTCTAAACTTTCTAAATCTCTGTTTTCCAGCTAATGAAAAGAAAATAGGATTCCACCGAGTCTCCTATCTACCTACCCCAGGACTTCCGTGAGGATCAAATGAGACGAGGCACGGGAACACGTGTCACAGACATTTGGTTATAGTGTGAAATGATTGCACCTGGTTATAAAGCAAGCCATGTTCTTGGGCTGAAGAAACTCCAATGAGGCTAGTCACTAGGGAGAGGAAGCCGGGCATTGCTACATGATGTCATTACTCGATGCCCACAACGACTGTTTCTTGCCTGGGCTGGGCTGTGGGCCGCATTTTGCGCCATGGGGTCTTGACAGCTTTCGCTGCAATTGGTGGGGTGTCACTCTGGGTGGTGGTGGGGCCTGTGTCCCACTTGGGGGAAGCCGAGTGTTGCTTTGTTGGCACCAGGTCTGTAGTGCCGTTTCTTTGTAAATGGCCAGTGCACATCATGGCAGCTCCTGTGTTGAGTGTCTGCCCCTGGTGGTCAGTGTGTGTCATAGCGACCGGTTGGATGGTCGGAGGGACGCTTAGCATATTTTATATATATAGATTGCTTAATCCCTTTACCTCTTTGTTAAAAAAAATATTTTATTGATTTTTTACAGAGAGGAAGGGAGAGGGATAGAGAGTTAGAAACATTGATGAGAGAGAAACATCGATCAGCTGCCTCTTGCACACCTCCTACTGGGGATGTGCCCGCAACCAAGGTACATGCCCTTGACTGGAATCGAACCTGGGACCTTTCAGTCCTCAGGCCAATCCTCTATCCACTGAGCTAAACCGGTCAGGGCCCCTTTACCTCTTTTTTCCCCCCAGCTCCCCTACCCTTCTTCCCTCTGAGATCTGTCAGTATGTCCCATGCCTCCATGTCTCTGGATCTATTTTGTTTGTCAGTTTATGATGTTCATTAGATTCCACATATAAGTGAGATCATATGGTATTTTTCTTTCTCTGATTGGCTTATTTCACTTAGCATAATACTCTCCAGGTCCATCCATGCGATTGCAAAAAGTAATATTGTCTTCTCTTTTTACAGCCAAGTAGTACTCCATTGTGTATCCACTTTGTTATCCACTATCTACTGATGGGCATTTGGGCTGTTTCCAGATTGTGGCTATTGTAAATAATGCTGCAATGAACATATATATATATAGAGAGAGGCCCGGTGCACAAATTTGTGCACGGGTGGGATCCCGAAGGGGATGGAGTGGGGCCGGCCCGCTGGGCAGTGGTGGGACACTCTTGCCAGCCCGGGATTGCATCTGTCCCGCTGACGTTCGCGCTGGTTGTTGGGAGCCACCTGGTGGTCACTTTTATATCCTTTCTTCTTTGCAGGGCGTCTAGGGAGGGGAAGTGCCCTAGTTGCCCAAGGCCGACTTCCAGGAGGCCGGCAGTGCTGTCAGGATCTTGCCAGCGGTGCTGGTCCATTGGTGCCTGGTCCATTCTCCAGAGATTAGACCTGCAGGACTACTGAGGGAATGAGTGGCTGCCGCTGGGCTGGTGGGCCGCCAGATGGGTTGGTCAGCTGAGCAGCGCTCCCGCTGTGGGAGCACACTGACCACTAGGGGGAAGCTCCTGCATTGAGTGTCTGCCCCCTGGTGGTCAGTGTGTGTCCTAGTGATTGGTCGACCGGTTGTTCGGTCATTCGGTTGCTTAGGCTTTTATATTATATATATATTCTTTTGAATTATGTTTCAGGACTTTTAAATATATTCCCAGAAGTGGAATTGCTGTGTCAAAAGGTAGCTCCATTTTTAATTTTTTTGAGGAAATGCCATACTGCTTTCCACAGTGGCTACACTAATCTGCATTTCCACCAGCAATATTCGAGGGTTCCCTTTTCTCCACATCCTTGCCAGCACTTGTTGTTTATTGCTTTATTGATGATAGCCATTCTGACAGGTGACACCTCATTGTAGTTTTAATTTGCATCTCTCTGGTGATTTTTCATATGTGTATTGGTTATCTATATGTCCTCTTTGGAGAAGTGTCTATTCAGATCCTTTGCCCAGTTTTTAATTGGGTTGTTTATCTTCTTGGTGTTGAGTTTTACAAGTTCTTTTTATATTTTGGAAAGTATGGGAGTATTTAAAGAATAAATTAAATTTCCTTAAGAGTTATAGGGATATTCAAAATATTGATTTCATATTGAATTGTAGTAATTTGTGTTTTTCAAGGAATTGGTCCATTTCAGTTAAGTTATATATGTGTGTGTTGAGTTGTTTTCTTATTTTCTTTTTGACTCCTGCAAGGTCTGTTTAATTCTTGACATTGGTAATTTGTGTCTTCTCTCTTTATTTCTTTGTCAGTCATGCTAGTGGTTTGCCAATTATATTGATTTTTTCAAAACCTAGCTCTTTGTTTTCACTTTGTTAAAGCCTTGTGAGGGTGGAAGTCTAGACTCTCCACTTGGCCTTTGCTGTGTGGATGTGGGCTGAGCCACAGTTTTTTCTGTGGTGTTTGGCTGGAGTAGAGCCTTTACTATCTAAAGTTGTTGTTATTATTGTTTTAGGCTCCCCTTTCTTGGCCCTTTGGCTAGAGAGAATAAGCTTTTGTTGGGCTCCAAGTCTGGGTTAATGAAACAAAAAGAAAACCCGGAGAACTCACCATTATGTCATTTTTTGGGTCCCTAGATTCCTAGCTGGTGTGTCATCTTCCTCTTCTTATGTTTGTGTGTGTGTGTGTGTGTGTGTGTGTGTGTGTGTGTGTATTTAGGCTCTTTAGTTGACTAACAGGAGAAATAGGGAAAATTATGTAAACTCTACCTTCTTGCAGGCTGGAATCCCCAGAAATCTTTTTTTAGTAGATTGATCATGGAAGATTGGTCATATCCCTTGACTACCATTCCAGTATTGAGTAGCTTTTGTGATAAAAGGTGCATTCTTGTCAGAATACAAATGCTTCAGTAAGTCAAACTTTTGATTGATTTCAAGGGCCAACCCTTCTTTGTGAGTTTTCTTGGCTGCCAGAGGGATTGAGTGTTGTGATCCACTCATGGTTTCTCAGTTTACTTGTCAAGCAGGGCCCTGAATTTTTGGAGAGCTTGTGGAGATGTGATAACATTGCAATCACGGTGATCCAGACTGAAGTGTCTGACTAGCCCACTGTGGCAAACATACACTAAGGTAGCCCCCCATGATCTCTATTGCCTGGCTTTTAGGAAGTGCAGGAGCTAAGAGTAAACTCTAGGGGGTAAGGGCAGCTGCTAGCTGACATCCAGAAAGAACCTGGGGACTCGGCCCTATAGCTGCAAAGAAATGAATTGAGACAGCAACCTGAGAGAGCTTGGAAGCAGATTCTTCCCCAGTCAAGCCTCCAGATGAGAATGCAGCCTGGACAACACCTTGATTGTAGCCTTGTGAGACCCTGAGCAGAGTCCAGTTAAGCCATGCCTGGACTCTTGACCCTCAGAAACTGTACAATAATAAATTTGTGGTGATCTGTTACATAGATAGCAATAGGTAACAAATATACCAACCAAGAGGACATCATCTATGCGGTGAAAGCTTTGGGCATAAGAAGGTAGAGGCACTCACAGGAAATTCTGACCCACCCACTCCTGGCAAATGGCATATAAGTTTATGCATCCATGGTACAGTGCTGCAAACATCTATTGGAGACTTTGGTAATATGCTGAGATAGGCTTCTCTGCATCTTGGTAGCCTTTATCTGAAAATGAAGATAATTATAATATTTACTTATAAGGTGGTTGTTAAAGAACTAAATATGATAATGTGGGTCAAGCTGGCACCTTTTAATGTGTGTGGCCCAATAAGTGTGGCTCTTGCCATCTTAATATTTCAATGAGGTCACATTTCCGTCAACATCTTTAAGTTATAATGGCAATGGATTTGCAAATCTCAACCTCCCCCAACCCCCACCAATCAACCAACCAACCAACCAACCAGTTAACCCTTCCACGATTTCCCCAGGATCAAAGCATTGTTAGGGGGAGAGTCCTGTCTAATTTCTCATAGCACCAAGCAACATTTTTTATTTCCACCATCCAACAACAAAAACACCAAGCCAACCCTGGCCTTCTCTCCACAGATAACAACCACCTCCTGGTTAATTAATAAGGACTTCAAAGGATTCATTAGGGCTTTTCCGCCAACAAAAAGAACACTATCCTCAGGTCAGGCTCTTGGATTTTATAATTTGCTCCCTGTAGAAAGGGGAGAGAATGAAGTTCTGACCTGGCCTGACCGCCCTTTGGGAGCGTGGGCATGGGGAGCCCCAGTCCCATGCACTTGGAAATGCAGGGGACTCAAGCGAGCGCGGGGCGCGCCTTAATTTCATCCCAAGAATAGATTGAAATCATCCTGTGTAAACCAGTCTAACTGCCTAAAAGAATGGGCATAACAGGGGCCTGCGTGCGGAGGAGCCACACCTCGGCCCCGGGCCCCTCTCGGGCTCGCTGGCCCCGCCGAGTGCCACATCAGCGCGCGCGCAGCACTTCCAGGTTCCTTCAGAGGATGGAACGAGCTGGCCCGGCGGGCGGAGGCGGGCCCCAGGCCGGCCGGAATGGCGGGCCGACCGGCCAATAGGCGACAGGTGAGGAACCGCGGCCACCAATGAGCTGGAGCTTCGGGTAGCCGCGGCGGCTGAGATTCGTGCCGGGCGAGGGAACCAGATGAGGCACATCTGGACAGCTGCGCTGAGGAACTGGGCAGCCCCTTTGCGGGGGCCCAACGTCAGCTGAGCACGTCTCCCACGTCCTCTCCTTCTGGCCACTTATTATTTATTCATTTTCCCAAAGAAGCCACCAAGGATCCAAGTGTAAAACTTTCCCCCCCTCTAATGCGAGACGGGGCCAGATCCCATCCAACACATAGGTTCATTTTCATGGGGCTCTGCGATCAAAAGAACAGAAAGAGCAACAACAAAAGCCGAGCCGCTGTCTGACTTAAACTGGCAAAGTGGAAAAAATAAAGTGTTGAGTAAACAGACCGAGTTGGGTAAGTTTTGGAGACGTGCTGGGTGTCTTGTTTCTCCCGCTGTGATCTCTATTCTGAGGCTTTCTGCTGTTCTCACTAGTCTCTTCATCAGGGAAAGGAAAAATACCGCTCGCTGCTACAAACCTTTTCTTCTACTTTGCTGAGATTTTTATGTAATTTAACTTTTTGGTCATCTGTACGCTATTTTTAAATTTCCTGGGAACAGACATTAAATTGGTACCCTGTTGTAAATCTCTCCTAACTTCAAAAGTTGAACCTACTGATAAATTTATTTTTCTACTTGCTTTCTGTGAAAACAGACTATATATTTGTAAAGCTGAATTCTTTATACATCCTCCTCTCTCTGACTGTCTTGATAGAAGATTGAGAAAATTACCTGGCTTATTCAGAATTAACAAAACTTTTGCTTCATGAATGGGATGTTTAATATTAGATTATTTAAAACCTCAATTATACAGGTAATTGCTATTTCACTTACATTTGAATGTAATTGTAACTGAAATGTGTCTTTTCTTTATTCTCCTATCCATAGTGGGAGGCCCAAATTCCTTTATGATTGTCAAAAAAATCTTAAACATATGACAGACAACTGTGTTTATCAGTAACTTTGTGCTATAATTGTATATTAATCCTATAATTCTATCAAAATAATATGCAGAATGATCACTAGATGTGTATGCTTGCAGACTGTTCTGGTATATATTTCAGGATGGAAATGATGGCAAATATTGAGCTAGGTAAGTGGCCTGAGGCCCATTCCATTAGAAACAGCTATAATTCTCTCTGTTTAAATAATGTTTCGGATTTGAGACCTTGTCATATATTATTTACTATCATGGCAGATCTGACCAGAATTGATCTTTAATTTCTGGCTTAAAAAACAGTAGGTGGGAATTTGGTGTCATAATTGCAAGTTGCAGAGCATGTTTTTGACTCAAAAGGGCAATGCATACACTGGGTGGAAGAGTTGAGTGGTTTTCAGGGATGCAGGGTTAGAAGGAACAGTGTTGCAGAGAAACAATATAAAGAGACAGCTGGCTTGGTTCAATCCACAACCCCACTGGTGGATCTTGGGCAAGTTAGCCAGCCCATCTGTGCCGTAGTTTCTGCCTCTGTAATGTGGAGACAGTAGTGCTTACCTCATGGGGTTGTCTTGAGGACTGAGTTAAGATATGTTAAATACTTAGAAGAGTTCTGGCACGTAGTCTTTGCTGTTGTAGTGACTCTTTATTGCCTTCCTTCCCAGCTCCCCCTGCTGCACACCAGTCTTCCCAGCCACCATTCTGACCTCTGTGCTAGCAACTAGTATGCTGACCACTTGTTAGCAATGCACTGTAGAAGGCTGTACAGGAGAGTCTTGAGAGGGGAGTGAGGTAGAATTTATCAAGTGCTTTTAGAAAGATCTAGAAAGGTCTGGGAGTTCAGAGGATGGAAAGATGACTTCTTATTATAGGATGGCTTCATGGAAAGGTTGGCATTTCTGGGGAAAAATTTTGCCCAATAGTTTTAATGGAGAGGAAAGGGATCATAGAACAACAGCAGGGGGCAGGCATTTTAGGAGGAAGAGAAAGCCTGGGCAAAGCACTGAGGCTGGAAGGTGTGGCTCTATGTGGAGACTGAATTGAAACGCAGGGCTTAGTGAGCAGAAAGGTTGGAAAGGTGGGAGAGGTGGGGGATGGCATGGAGAGCCTGATGGGGAAGGGGAGGCGTGGGAGGTAGATTGGTGGGGGATGGCAAGCTGCACTGGCAAAAGTTACATAGTGGAAGTATTTCTGGAATGACCCATCTCTGGAGTCTGGTCTCTACCTTTTGCCCAGCATACCCTCCCTGTCTGCTCTGTTGCTTCTGTGACCTGCCTTCAGGGCCTGCAGGCAATGGGGTAGGATGGACCAGTGAGTCTGGAGCCCACTTTTTGGACTCCCTCTGTAGTGGCTGTCTTGGAGCTCTGCTGAAGTGGTCTGGCCTCCTGGGCTATTACAAGGGCGACTTCTCAGAAACAGGGCATGCCCTAAAGTCTTTGACATGGACTATTGTTGCACCTCTCCCCTCCCCCCATACACACACACTGTGTGCAGAATAGCTCTTTCTCTGCCCACTGACAGGATTGTCTAGTCACATGTTAATACGTATCCTTTTATAATGTACAATTATTGAAGTAGATGAGACTGGTAATATGCACCTAGGTAGAGAGTCAGTTTGGAGATCTCTTGCTTTCTCTTCCTCCAGGGCTTATGTCAGAGTGAACCCGAGTCTGGCCCTGGTGCTGCTGCTGACCACCTGTGTGACCCCAGGCATGACATTGAGCCATTATGGTCCTCTCTAGGCCATCATCAGTAATATGACCTCTAAGTTCCCTTTTCCCTTGGATGCTCTTTCATTCTTCTCCCCCACCATCCCGGGGACAGTCTGTTGCTTGCAGATGGCTATTTGATGCATCCATGGCTAACATTTTCTCACCGCTAATATACGGCAGGTATTATTCTAAATGCTTTACTTGTCTCAGTTTATGTAAGCCTCTCAACAACCCTGTGAGGGTTGGTATTTATTAGCTGAGAAGACAGAGGCACAGGCAGATTAAGACACTTGCCCAAAGTCACACAGTGAACAAATGGCAAATGCAGACTCAGTGTAACACCACAGCACAAGCCTTTAAAAAAAATCTTTATTGTTCAAAGTATTACATAGGTCCTTCTTTTCCCCCCATTTACCTCTTCTAGCCCGCTCCCGTCCATGCCCGACCCGCCAGGCCCTCAGCACCCCATTGTCTGTGTCCACGGGTTATACATATATGCATACAAGTTCGTTGGGTGATCTCTTTCCACCCACCCTCCCCTCTGAGGTTCAACAGTCTCTTCATGCTTCTATGTCTCTGGGTCTATTTTTGGTCACTAGTTTATTTGGTTCATTAGATTCCACATATGAGTGAGATCATGTGATATTTATTTTTCTCTGACTGGCTTATTTCGCTCAGCGTAATACTCTCCAGATCCATCCATGCTATTGCAAATGGTAAGAGTTCTTTCTTTTATATTGCCATGTAGTATTCCATTGTGTAGATGTACCACAGTATTTTTGTCCACTCATCTGCTGATGGGCACTTAGGCTGTGTCCAAATCTTAGCTGTGGTAAATTGCGTGCTATGAACATAGGGGTGCACATATCCTTTCTGATGAGTGTTTTGGGCACAGCCCAAGCCTTAACCACAGTGGGACTGCTCTTCTTTGTGGGGGTGGTAGTCAAGAAGTCCATGGAAGAAGGATCATTGAAGGAGCAGGGAACATTCGGAGAATCACGTTGGTAAAATTTCCCTGGAGGAGCCAGAATACCATCATGAGTCTTGCTTGTGGGATGTGCTGCACATGGGGACAGGAGACGTTTTATTTGTTTATTACTCGGAGCTCATTGTTTGTTACTGTTTTTCCAACTTGTTTCTACAGAACCACCATAGTCCTGGACTTACACATTGAATAGAGGTCAGTTGGATGATTATCTTCTTTGAAAAACCAAAACAGTGTATAAAAGTCAAAAGTAATGGTTTCCCCTTTATTTACTTGCTTTCTTCCCATTCCACCACACTCTCCAGGGGTAACCTTTGTTAATAGTTTGGTCAGTATCTTTCCAGCCCTTCCTAAGTGTCCACTCACAGGTATAGACCTAAACATAAATATAATTTTAAAATATAAATGGGACCGCAGTATTTTTATTTTTTTAAAATAGGGAAACTATGAAATGTTCCAAGGCTTATGGAAAAATGGGGCAATTCCAGGTACATATTCTATCCCAATTTCTTGGGCATTCTGGCTTCTTGTCTGATTTCTGGAGATGCTGTGGTTTTGGAATAAGAACTTCATGATGAAAGTCAATATAGAGCAATTTTAGGTGTCCTGTTATTAATCCTACCCAGTCTGGATTTCACATCATTTTGGGTTGAAAAATGTTGTAATTTGCTTTTTATCTCATTCCCTTAATGTAGTCACTCTTTTAGTATAACACACTGACTGAGCACCTAGACTGGAGTCAGACTGTGAGGGTTCCAATCCCAGATCTGCTTCTTACTAGTGCAGTGCACCTGGAGCAAGTCACTTTTTCTAGGAGGCTTTCTTATCTGCAAAATGGGGTTATCAATAGGCATTAACTGAGAAAATCAGTTTAACTCATTTAGCGTAGTGTCTGAATCTTAGTAAAGCCTATACATGTAAGCACTTCATTTTTTTAAATTGTGGTAAAATATGACATAACGTTTGCCATTTTAACAATATCTAATTGTATAGTTCAGTGGTATTAAGTACATTCATATTGTTGTGCAACCATCATCACTTTCCATCTTCATAACTTTTTCATCAAACTGAAATTCCATACCCATTAAATAACCGTCTATTACCTTTGCTTTCAGCCTCTGATAACCACCGTCCTACTTTCTATCTCTATGAATTTGACTACTTGAGGTGCCTCATATAACTGGAGTTATACAATATTTGCCCCTTTACAATGCTCATTTCACTTAGCATAATGTTTTCAAGATTCATCTATATTGTATTGTGTGCCAGAATTTCATTAGTCATGTGTTGCTTCATGATGGGGATACATTTCGAGAAATGCATCCTTAGGCAATTCTGTCCTTGTGCAAACATCACAGAGTGCAACACAAACCTGGATGGTAGCCTACTGCACACCTAGGCTGTATGGTGTAGCCTATTGCTCCTAGGCTGCAAGCCTGTACAGCATGCTGCCGTACTCAATACTATAGGCAATTGTAACACAAAGATAAGTATTCGTGTATCTACATGGAGACAAGGTACAGTACAAAATACGCTGCAAAAGATAAAGTGTGTGTGAGCATGCCGATGCGGGGAGGGCAGGAGGAAGACGGTGGAGGGAGGTCCCTCTGAGGGGGAGTAGAGCTCAAAAGGAAGGATGGAGGATGTGAGAGAGAAGGAAGAGAAGGGGAGGAAAGTGAGATCAGAGATCAGAAGAGAACCAGAAAAATAAAGCTTGAGACA